CCGCGTGCTCGGGGATGAGCACACCCGGCAAAGTGCCCGGGGTGGTGGTCGCGCTAGGCAGTCGGGTGCGGCGCCGGCTGCAGGGGGGATTTTAACGGAGCGGGGCCAGCTGCAAGAACAGTGGGATGATGCCAGAGGGAAGGGGGTTGGGGGAGAAGGGGACCCCAATATATGATGACAGGAGAAGATTTGACTTTGGGTGGTGGGCACGCGGTGAATATGTAGATCTTGTAACATCGAAACCCACACCTGAAACCTATATATTCATGTTGACCAATGTCACTCCAATAAATTTAATTTTAAAAAGTGGGAGGAAAATGCATTGTTCCTCTGGGGGACCATCAATTCTGACTGAGCCGCCATTCTACAAACATAATGGGATGAACGTGGGGGTTTCTGAAGAGTTTACTTCTGTTCTGATTTGGCTCTCACAAGTTACCTCTGTGAATAGGTCTCTCCCCACTCACCCCACTCACCCCACCCCCAGTTCATCGCTGAGCACTCTACTATTTAAATCGCAAACCTCAGTCCTTAAAGGCCTTCCATGATTCTTCTCCCTAGCGCTTATCATCTAACATCCTGTATTTTTTATATATTTGTTTTATTTATTGCCGGCCTCTGTTTATATATACAATGTATTTCCATGAGATCAGAGATATATTGGGGGACGAGTGTATCTATTTTACACAGATGTCTCACAGCACAGTATAGTATCTCTCGGCACATGGTTGACACTCTAAATATTTGTTGAGCAAGTGGATCTTTACTATATAATGTAGAGGTAGAGTGCATTTAAATATGTCTCAATTTCAAGAGTTTTTACATTAGTTTGATGTAGTCTTTACATTATAAATGTATATTCATACACATACACACAGCATGGGCTGGTGTATGTGTGTATACTGTGATTACCTAGTTTTGTTGGTAAAAAGAACTCCAATCACACAACTGACCCCCAAATGATATACAGCATGACACAATCTCTCAAATACTGTACATAGCACGATATACTTCTCATAAAGTTAAAAAAATATGAACTCCCTAGGACTATAAAAATAGACTTATGTATAACTATGTGAAAAGGAAAGCAATAGGACAATGAACATGGGATTCGGAATGTTGGGAACACTAGGTAAGGGGAGGCAGGGGAAATGGATGGGAGGCATTTTATATGAAGGTGAATTGCCAATGCTTTAGCTATTATGTTCACCCACATGTATTAACCTATGAAATTACTATGTAACTAAATAAAACAGAGCCATGCATGGACTAGTAAGGAGAGCATGAAATGCACCAAAGAAATATGTAATCCAATTCAAAGCATCTGAGGTCTCAAAACAACTGACCAACCAACCAAACAAACTGATTAAGACTTATAGGCAGGAGACATGGATTCTTGTTGATTCCACCAATAGTTAAACTTGGACAAGTTCCCTTACCCTCTCTAGACTTCATTTTTTTCGTGTCTAAACCCTGATAAACTCATTATTTTATCCTGAAAACTGAAATATGTTAAGAAGCTCTCTAAACTGTAAAGACCATCCAGTTCTTGTCTTTGATAGGACAGGGCACTGGGATAGGAGTCAGCACTACCTACCTCACTGCATTCTTGGGCAAGTGTACTAATTCTCTGTTTCCTCAACTTTTGAAGTAAGGCAAATATCTGTTCAGCCTACAGCACAAGGATGCTGAGGAATGAATGTATGCAAAGGAAGCTCTAAATCAGTGGTTCTCAACCTTGGCTGCACATTAGAATCACCTGGGAATCTTTTTAAAATCCTGATTTCTGGGCCTCATCCTCCAGAAATTCTGTTTCTTTGTTATGGGGCGGGGCCCCCACATTAGTAACATAGAAACAGAATTTCCAGAGGGTGAGGCCCAGAAATCCGTATTTTCAGAAATCAGGATTTTAAAAAGATTCCCAGGTGATTCTAATGTGCAGCCAAGGTTGAGAACCACTGCTCTAAATAAACCACCATATATCAACAATGAGCGATTACGGTCACACCTGTTAAGAATGACTATCATCAACAAATCATTTAAATGACAAATGCTGGTAAGGATGTGGAGAAAAGAGAACCCTAGTACACTGCTGGTGGGAATGCAGACTGGTGCAGCCACTGTGGAAAACAGCATGGAGTTTCCTCAAAAAATTAAACATGGAACTCCCATTTGACCCAGTGATCCCACTTCTAGGAATATATCCTAAGAAGCCAGAAACACCAATCAGAAAGAATATATGCACCCCTATGTACATAGCAGCACAATTTACAATAGTTACGATCTGGAAACAGCCCAAATGCCCCTCAGCAGATGAGTGGATAAAAAAGCTGTGGTACATTTACACAATGGAATACTACACAGCTATAAAAAAGAAGGAACTCACCATTTGCAACAACATGGATGGACCTGGTGAGTATTATGCTAAGTGAAATAAGCCAGCCAGAGAAAGATAAGTATCACTTGATCTCACTCAAATGTGGATTCTAATCAATAAAATAAACTGATGAATAAAATAGATCCACAGACATAGAGGCATGGAACAGACTGATGAATTTCAGAGGCAAGGTGGAGCTGGGGGGCTGGGAGGGGAGTGATTAACTGGGGAACTTATATGCATACTAGAGGCCCAGTGCATGACATTTGTGCACTGAAGGGCGGGGGGAGTCCCTCAGCCCAGTCTGCACCTTCTTGTAGTCTTAGCGCTGCCACGGAGGCGGGAGGGGTTCCCACCTGGCTTCTGGTTCAGGAGCACTCCCCCTGTGGGAGCACACTGACCACCAGGGGGCAGCTCCTGCATTGAGCGTCTGCCCCCTAGTGGTCAGTGCATGTCATAGCGACTGGTCGTTCCGCCATTCGGTTGATTTGCATATGAGGGTTTTATTATATGGGATATGCGTAACCCATGGTCACAGACAATAAAGTGATGAAGGTCTGGGAGGGGTGGGTACAGGGTGGAGGGAGTCAATGGGAAAAACACACACAAACAAGGGGACATCTGTAATACTTTAAACAGTAAAGATAAATTTTTTAAAAACCACAAAAACCCCCACCATATATGAGTATGTAAATAGACTTTTTTCCAGCCCAGAAAAGATGAGTGATAATGATTTCCTGAGAAAGCTGTGCAAACTTAAGGGGCAGGGGCATTCTTTATTATAAATGTTAGCGTGTTGTTATAAAAACCTTGGGGGAAATTTTTTACCATCCCAGAAAGATAAATCTGTCTAGCCTTTTCTAAAAAAAAAAAAAGACACAAAAACAAACAAAAGACCTAAAACCTCTACAATGATTACACAGTTTCCCCCATTTCCCCTAAGACAGTAGTCAGCAAACTGCGGCTCGCGAGCCACATGCGGCTCTTTGGCCCCTTGAGTGTGGCCACGAAGTTTCAATCGCACTGTACGTGCATGCCTGCACGTGGTATTTTGTGGAAGAGCCACACTCAAGGGGCTGCAGTTTGCCGACCACTGCCCTAAGAGTTCACATCTAACCTCTGCTAGTCAAACATTTCCCCATCAATTGTGAGTTTTAATCCATTCTATGGTACAAATATTTCCTTTAAAGCCTATAAATATGAGCTTTGTGATCAAAGACACTTGGCTGATTACCAATTCAGGTGTCAGTATCTCGAGAAACTTTTAATTCATAGGACCATCTAGCAATTTATATATATCATTTAGGTATGCCAAAATTTGTCATTCAAATCTAGCATTTAAGCGTAAGTAATCTGGTGTTTTGGTGCCAAAAAAACCCTTTTCATGTGCAAGTATATATACCAGTAGAAAATCAATAGAGTGAAGCAGGTATGAAATGTATTCTAGTGAACCCTAAGAATTTTATGATACACATAACAAAAAGCTGAATCATAATCCTACAAAATAAAAGCCCAGGGACTGAACTGCGGAACGAGTAGAACGACCAGTCAACCGGTTGCTATGATGCGCACTGACCACCAGGAGGCAGACACCCAATGCAGGAGCTGCCCCTGGTGGTCAGTGCGCTACTACAGTGGGAGCTCTGCTCTGCTGATGGGGCGACAGGCAGGAACCTGGACTGCCATCATAGCCTCCTCACCCCAGGCTCCTCCCCCTTGCTCCCTGCTGCCTCCTCTGGACCCCCACAGGCCACATAGCACCGATGCCAGACTCGCAGAGCTGACCCCGGAGGCTGGGAGGTGGGTTCATGGCCACTGCGAGACTGAGGCCTACTCCGCTGCCTTTCAGTGCTATTGTCCCTGGGCCCTGCCCCGACCATGTCCCCTGGAGAGTGAGTGCTGCGGCTCCACGAAAGATGCCGGACCAGGGAGCAGATGCTCAGAGGGTGGGTCCACAGCCACCCGGCTGACCCACCCGGATGAGAGGCGCTCCCACAGTGGGCTGATCCCTGCAGGCCACACCTCCCACCAGTGCATGAATGCCGTGCTCAGGGCCTCCACTATAATTATATTTCTGGAAAGCTTTTTGCAAATGAGGTTGTTTTCAAGAGATCTTGAAAGGAGAAAATGTGCATAACTTTATCTTATGACTGCAATAATGGTGAGGAA